TTTCAAATGTTAATTATGTGTTAGGTGAAGAGGTATTCTTCTATAAATTCGTATCACTTGATTGTTCTGGATTGTAATAATCTCAATATGTATGTGAGGGGGGAGAGAAAGAAATAGAGAAATAAAGGGAACCCTCTTTATCCATTTTCTGATAGCAGAAGGGAGCAAGCATGCAGATCTACCAGGTTTACTTATTGCTGAATTGTGCAGACTTTTCACTACTACCTGGTAGTGCAAGAGACTTCACAATTCAGCAATGGGTAAAACTAGTAGATCTGAATACTTGTTCCAATTTGGTATGAGAAAATGGATAAATGGATAACCATATATCAAACATGAAAACTACCATAACCTAACATAAAATAAAACAAAGAAATGAAAAAAATTGTACAGAAAGGATATACCGTACATAGACAAAACTTAAAATTTTCTTTGCAGTAAATATAATTACAAAGTTATGATTTACTGTTTTGACTGTAAAAACGCTCACTATCTTGTGTTACCATTTTTTCCATTCATTAAAAGTGCAAATCATTTGTGCAGGGTTTTTTTTTTTGTTTCATACAAAAGTTTATGCAATACAGGATTTGTAATCAGCCATAAATGTAATTTTTTTGTCCAATCAAGAAAGTCAATTTAGCCATTTCTGCAAGTTTCATCATCCTCACCAAACATTCTTCTATGGTGGATAGTGTTGAATTTTTCTACTTCTGAGCACACTACCAATATTCTCATGGATATGCGAACCTATAATATGTAATAGTCCATACAGAGGAAATAGGTTTGTCATGCCATATTTGATGGTGTGCCTTATGTATGCAGAGCTTTGGACATGTTTTAGTTCTATTGTGTTAAAAACTGATTCCTGGATATGTAGGTATAACTACCATGACCTATCACTCACCATGGTGCAGAGATTCCTTATTTTTCCCCAGTTATCTTTGCCAACACGATCTGTCACACATTAATTGATATTGCTCTATGTGTAAAGGAAGTTTTAGACATGTATGTGCAATTGTCCAAAGCTCCACTGTCAAAATTTTGAGTGTAATTATCAGATGCTGTGATTATGCATTCCTTTTTTAAGTTTAGGTCTATATTCATTGGATTGACTGAGCTGTGTTTCAGAGCTTACAACAACATCCAGATGGAAATCAGTAACCAACTTCAGTATTATACAGAACAAATGCTGCTGCTAATACCATCTTTCCATAGTAGCTGTCACAATACAGCTTCACTCCCCTCCTCCTTTTGCAGAGAACTCAGCATGTTTGTTACACATCTGCTTTCCTACGCAGCACACCCTCTTGAGAGGCAGCATCAGTAACTGGTTGTGTGGACGTGCCATGGCTGCTTCTAACAGAGTGTGGGTGTACTAGGCAGCCGGGAGTGGGTGTGCTCTGAGAGCTGCCTTGGCAGCCAAAAGATGAGTGGGTGTGCTGCAGCTGCAACGATCTGGACTCAGCAGCGCAGAGGTAGCATTGCACAGTCATTGCACATTCAGACACTGTGCACCTGAATGCAAGGCCAGTATTGCCAGAAAGAAGCCAGCCTGTGTTTCGGTCTATTCGGTTATTATCTAGAGAACTGAATCAAGAATTTCTCCCTTTGTATATTCCCTGAGCTTCAGTTAGTTTCTGTTGGCTATAAATGAGTGCCTTTTGACTCCCTCTGCAGAGAGGAGACTAACTGGGTATTATATCTGCCTCCACCCCTTTGAAAGCTTTACCCTTTCTATTTGATTTCTTTTCCACAGCCAGCTGGATTGGAATGCTATAGGAAATCCTGATTACTGGCAGATTTCTGACTGTGTTATGACTTTTCAGGTAGAAAGTATGTTTTGTCTAGGGTCAAGGTGCAGAAGGATTCAAAGCATTTACTAGATGGGAACAGAGAATAAAATATTCCTTCACAGATAGATACACGCACACAGACAGCCACACTTCACATCATCAAATTGTATGCTAAGAGTTATATTGAAAATGAGTACTAACACATCAGGCTGGGCTCAGCCCCCAAACTAGTGTTTATTTCTAAAACAAAGAAGTCCTTTCAAGTAGATAAAATATTCTATTCCCTCACTGAACATAGTCAATCTTGATCCTTAGCAATTAATTGTTGCTTTTAGGAAGATTTAAAAAAAAACTAACAGCTATAATTTCATCATATTTTAATACATTCCTTTATGCACATCTTTGCTGGAATATATTTACATTTATCTCACTTACACTTCTATACATCAGAAAGCTCCACTGGACTTAATTTTCAGTCACAACACATAGCCCACTTTTGCAAATGTGCCAGGCTGCCAGCAGAACTCAAACACTTATGTGAATATTCCCACTTAACCTTCTTCAAGCAGAAAAACAATGAAACGGTACTTATTTTATCCTATTTCTAAACGTAATGGTTTGTTTTGGCAATAATTAAAAATGGCAGCTTATGGACAGAAAATATATTGTCGCATAATCTTTTGTAAATACTGCAGCTTCAACAAATGCATGATTATCCTTAGCTAGAGAAAACTGCTCTTCATGAATTTAATTAAGTAGACTGCTGGTCACAAAAGTTTGGACTATTAAAAAAAATCACAGGAGTCATAGATTTTTGTCTGAAGCTACAGATTTATTTATACAAAATTTACCCACCTTAATGTATTGGGGAAGAAAATTAAGTCAATGTTTTTGGTCAGGTGTTTTAACAAACTTTATTTTAGTAAGAAATCAGAACAAATTGCTAATGGATAGGAATACACTGGTTTCTCAGTCTTCCTAAGTTGAAATATTTGATGCTGTATTTAGGAATAATTTAGAAAATTTATTATCCTTAATTATATTGTGTTCTGTGTTATCAATGTACACACCTTACTTCTATCATTTTCAACTGACCTTCCTCTGCCTCATCTAACACAGTACATTCTTTGATGCTGAAGCATCTTGTGAGATAATAAAAAAAACCCAAGGCTCTGATCACAGCCATTCATGTCTTTGTTATCTCCTGTTTAGATTATTGTAAATTGCTCTACATGGGGATGAAGATCAATTAGAACCTTCAGCTGGCCAAAACACTCTGCTCCACATACTCAAAAGCTAATACAGCATCTGTATTGTCATACCACTGCTGCAGGAGCTGCACTATTTGATAGCATGTTTATGAGTGCAGTTGAAGGTGTGGTGCTACTTTTAAAGGCCTATATTGCTTGGGACCAGGGTATCTAAGAGATTCCCTTTATAAAATAGCTTCAGAACTATTGAACCAGATGGCCCAATAGCCTCTTCTAAGAGTTTCCATCTATTAGAAGATAAGGCAAGAGAAGATGACAATGTCAGGTGTTCTCAAGGGCAGATTTCTTCCTATGGAACAGCTTGCCCCCTGAGGTGACTATCAACCCCCATCCTTATGGCATTCTGGCAGCTAGCAAAACCCTGGATTTTCCAGAATGCCTTTGGGAACTGATAATAAAGCCACAATTTATTCTTTGTGTGCGAATGAGTGCATGCATGTATGAATGTTTATTATTTCTTGTTATAATTAATTATTGAAAAAAATTAAATGTATTTTATTCTTAATATTTTAATATCTCAAACTGCCCAGAGTCCATAAGGATTAAGGAAGTAGCTAAATTGCATGAATAAATAGGTTGTTCCCAGGTGTAAACAAATATCCATCTAGTATAAGGAAGTTATTTACAAGACAATGTGGCATTATTTGAAAATAAAAATAGGTCTGGTCTAGTTCATTTGCAAATTATTCAAATTAGTTTTTGAGAATGTAAAAAGGAAAGAGAAACACACATTAACGAGTTTTACTAGAAAAAAGCATAAGATATGAACGCCATTAATAAATAAACGTTCTATCATGTCAGGCATCAGTTTTCAATGCAATATTTGTCCCTGTCCCAAGATAAGACAATTAAATTCTAAAATTAGGGAAGAATCCCAGAGTCAGTGGGGGTGGGGGTGGGGTGGGGGGAAATGAAGCTGAAAGTAGATTGAATATTTCAGAAAAGTATCTCCAATTTAACCATGAAGTAATTTCATGAAGGAAATATGAAGTCTTGGAATAACATTCACAATCCCCAGACTTGGATTGTGTGAAAATCTGTGTGGAGTTCTGAAACAAAGTTTATGTAAGAATATTTCCAAGCTATTAGTGTTTTGCAAGGAAAAGAGTTTTAAAGCAAAAATAGTCTGTCAGTTGTCTACAAAAATGCTCAGAAGATGGGGTTGTTTTTTTGGGCAAAGGAGTTTTTACTAAGTCAAGACTGAAAGGATATCCAAACATAGGCACCTGTCACAGTCATTGTTTAAACAATGATACAACTTGGTACATCTCTGTGATCTTGCCTATTAATCCTGAATTTTCCAAAGCCACAAAAAAAAAAAAAAAATTCAGTCAGGAGCATTTAGAGAAGAAATGATTTCCCTAGTGTTCTTCAAACAAAAGATATTTTAAAAAATCCAGGATATTCTGGGTTAAAAAGAAGATAAGGCTGCCTCTAGATTCTGTTGAACCTGGATTACTTAATTTGTCTTTATTTATATGCTATGATTTAAATGAACAGTTGCTTTGGCTTATTATTAACATTGCCACCAATAATCGCTCTTGATGAAGGAAGCATCAAGAATGATTTTCTGAAAGATGGCCAATTCTCTCCACATGTCTGAGTGTAAGTCCTAATATGTTGACAGCATGGTATTTATTATATAGCAGCATATTGAAAAGGCTGTAGAAAGGCCATATTTATCTCTGTTATTCTAAATTAATTTACTTGTGATGCTATCTAGTATGATTTATAGTTGAATTTAAAATGCCAGCTTCTATAATGATTATATGGGTTTAACTTCAAATGTTCCTAAAGCATGATGCATTTATTATATAGGTTATGAAAAATGATAGGCACCAGCACAGTAGGGGCAGGGGGGCTGAAAAGACACCAGCCAAAAAAAAAAAAATCTGCAATCTTAATTCCCCGGTGTAGAAACCTCAGATGAGACCAGGAAACTCATACATCTCTTATTTATGGCTACTGCTTTTTCTGCAACTGTGCGTGTTTCAAGGCTCCAGAAACCTCACTTCATAACATCGCCTTATCATAAAGCTGAGCGGAAACACTCATGGAAGAGCGTTGTAAAGATTTCACTGGGAGTTTTGGCTTCGGGCTTCTCCGGAGCCTCAGGGCCAGTCTGCTGCGCCATCTCAGACTTGCACATACTGTACAGTACATAAGATGGGCGAAGACTTCTCTTTGGCGGCGTCGGCTTTCCCTGACGATCGCAAGCTTCAGTATGACGCAGAGTTCCTCCTTTGTCACGCCAAGAGCCCAGCGTTCATTTCCAAGTCTGCGCAATTCCTGCGTCGTTAGAAGACACGGCAGCTGCCGAAAACGTCGCCTCGCCAGGTTGGAAACTTTCGGTGGACGATTTCAAGGTCTTCTAAAGGGGTGCGGCGGTTCTCGAGGACCACCGTAGCTCCTTCCTGCGTTTTACCGCGGACCAAGCCGGAAGAGGGGGAGAACCTGGAGGTCTTTCGCCCGGCTCTTCACGAAAAAAAGCCCACCTGCTCTCAAGTTGTAGCGCGGAGCATCAGTCCGGCAGCCGGCTACGGAGCGGGGACGTCCTTCCACCTACGCCTTCGTCTCCCCTCCTGCGGCGGAGAGCGAAAGCGAAAGCCGGGTGTGGCTCCGCCCCGCTTGCTGCAGCTGGAGGGAACCGTCGAAGCTTCACAGGCTGCGGGCTGGGCGGCTCCAGGTCCGCGCTCCGGATCTCCTCCCCCCCGCCCCTGGTCTTTCCCTTTGGCCTGCGAGAGGATCGTCGCAGCAAGAAAGCGGATCGCCCTCCCTTGAGCCAGCCTGGACATGTGGATGTTATGCGTGTGGTGGGTGCTGCTGGGCACTCTGGGCACCGGTGAGTGTCGGTTCTCGCTTCTTTTGCTGCTCTCCCTCTCGGCGGCGTTGTTCCCGCTCCAATTGCTGCTATCCCTCGCTTCGCTCTCTCTCTCTCTCGGCCTTTCGCCTCCCCCCGTGTCAAAAAATTAAAAAAAAGAGCTAGCAGATACCCCGCGCTTTTTTTCCTCCGCGGCGGTTTTGGAGTAAGCTGCGCTGTTCCTTTCCCCCATTTCTGCTTGGCCGTGTCCTAAAGCCCCCCGGGAGAGGGAGGGGGAGCTGGGTTGTTTTTGGGGCTCCAAGGACGATAGAGTACGGCTCTTTAAAAGAAAAGAAAAAAAATAGGAGAGGAAGGGAGAGAAACTGCCTCCTCCCTTATCCCCAGCCACCCACCCGGGGAGCTGGTGAGACTTTTAGCTTCCCGTCCTATCCACTGACTGCGCCACGAAGCTGAGGCTTTTCGGTTTGTTTGGCTGGAGTGTGCCGCTGCCTTGCACCACACGTCCTCCTCTCCCCTCTCTCCCTCCCCGTCCCCCCGAGCGAGCCCAATTATTTCGACAGGCGTAGGGTGCTGAGCTCTGGGATTGGCTACCTCTTTTAACGCCTGATGCTTCCCATACGCTTCGCTTCAGGAGTCCTGCTGCTCCGAATGTGCGGTGGCAGAAGTGACAGCAGGCTGGCGGGTGTATGCGTGTGTGTGTTGGGTGGGGGGGGGGAGGTGTTGAATGTGACTCCGGCATTCGCCCTGCTTCGGAATATGCCGAAAACCTTTCTGGGGTGCCGCTTTCCCACCTTCTGGTTGGTTTGGCTTGCGAGACAGTCCTGGTTTTGTTTTGTTTTTTCTCCCTTCCCTTCGGGTTAATGGCTACTGTTGATGGTTGCTTGTGCTGCCCTTGGAAGAACCCTGCTCAAGGATTGTGATAGTGTAGAAGCCGCCTCTTCTTTTTGACGTTAAAACTTCGGAGCACGTGTGCACAGCAACTTCGCACACACTCCGTACACGTAGCAAAGGGAGAGTAACCTGGTGGGTGAAAGTAACCAGTATTTTGTTTCACCTGGACCCCTGCCATATATCGTTGCGGGAAAGAGGGCAGAAAAACTGAATAATCTAGTTCAGGCTTGCAGTATTGCATGTACACAGCACATTTCCAGCAACACAGGATGCGACTAATGTAATCCCCAAACCTAGCTTTCGAGATTAAATGAATCATACAGAGTGACAACATTGCGCTAGCATACTTTTTAATCAGACTGTTAATGAAGATTTTTGTTGCAAACAGATTGTTGAGTTGTGTGGGGATTATGAAAGCTCCAAGTTATGCATTTCACACAGCTCTTCTGTAAGAAATGGAAGTAATAAATTATCTTTGACACTTTCCAGGTTTTTGAGAATAACTAAAATTGGTAAGCGTTCTGCGGTAATTTTAACATTTATCTTTAAAGATTTATTGACAACCTGGCTTCATTTATTGGACAAATCAGTTTCAGATTCCCCAAAAAATTATTTCTATCATTTGGAAATGCTAATGAGCTTTTTTCCTTCTAATGCAAGGTGACCACCAGATTGTCACCTTAGGAATTGATTTCCAGAGCTTGGTACTCCTGTCAGATATGTTGAACACAACTAAGACTACAGTAGTTTGACAGTGGAACCAATAAATCAGTAGGGTAGTGATCTTTACTAGATATATTCAAGCAGAGTCTAGTGAGCTATTTCTCTTGGTTGCCTTAATTTGAATTTCTGGAACAGGATAGGACTTGCTACTGAAATATGCTACAGGTATATACACCTTGAAAAATAGTACAAGGTGGTATACACCTTGTTTCCATTGACTTATGAGCGCAATTGAGCCCAAAATTTCCATTGCTAAGCAAGACAGGTGTAAAGTGAGTTTTGCCACATTTTATGATCTTAAGTGAATTGCTGCAGTTGTTAGGTTAGTAACACAGTTCTTACGTGAATATGGTGCCCCCATTGACTTTGCTTGTCAGAAGATAGCAAAAATCACATGACCCTGGAACACTGCAATTGCCATAAATTCACGCCTCTTGCCAAGCATTTGAATTTTGATCATGTGACCATAGGGATGTAGCAGCAATGGTCATAAGGGTGAAAATGGTCTTAAGTCACTTTTTTTTAGTGCCAAATGGTCACTAAACAAATAGTTGTAAGTCAAGGACTACCCATACCAATTCTATAACTTTACAGTTTCAAAGTCTCCAAACAAAACTAATTGTGATAATGGATCTACAGTATAACTGGAGAGTACCAGGGGCTGCATGATGCCTCCTCAGGTTCTTGTAGATATTAAGATTAAATAGTTCATAAAATTAATTTTTCTTCTAGCCTCTTATTATTTTGACTGTTTTCCTCTGGACATGTTCTGCCTGTCGGCTGTTCTTCCTGAATTGCAGGTTCAACCAGGATCACATTTAATTAGTTATGCAGCTGCATTATACACTATTGGCTCATATTATGCACTGAGATATTCAGAACCTTTTTGCATGGCAAAGTATTACATCTCTCTCATTTTATTCCCATGCCTTTGATTTTTCCTATACAAATTTAGGACATTGTACACTGTCCCTGTTGAACTGAGATTCATTCTGCTATTTTGGGGCCTAATTTTTCAGCTTGTCAAACTTTTCTTCAACCTTGTTCATATCCTTTCAGGTAGACATGTCAAACATGTGGCCTTAGGCCGGATCTGGCCTGTGACAGGTCCAGCCCTTGCCGCCTTGGCCCTGGCCCACCCTGGCCATGTCCACCCAGTCGGCTGCAACAACCAGGCCATGCCCACCCCGGCCTCTCAAGGGCAAACAAAACCCTGATTCTGCTATCCCGGTCCGCAGTGGTCGAGATTGAAACCCCTGCTTTAAGATATTATCTGCAAATTTGAAAATCATGTTTTCTGGCCATTCATGTCATTTACATATATATTAAGTCAAGCCCTATGATATATGGAGCCTGCCCGTTATGGCTGTAAGTCCTGAGGTCATAAAGGGTGACACATTAAGTCATGTAACTGACTTAATTTATGATCTTTTTTGTAGTGGTGGTTAAGTGAATGCCACAGTTGTTAAGCAAACTGATTGGCTATGGGGCAGTTTTGCCAAAGAACGGTAGTAAATGTCATTTTTCAGCAAAAATATAAAATACAATCACATGATCATGGGACGCAGCTGTAAGGGTGGGCCTTGCTTCAGATGTGGTCATGTGACCTTGGGGAGGCAGACTTTGGAACGTCAGAACTGGGTCGTTCTGGGCAAGTCCATCATAATTTTGAATAGTCACTGAGTGACCAGTCATAAGCTGAGGACTATCTATATACATACTTCACCCCAGCTTGACTTCATACAGGTAGTCCTCAACTTACAACTTACAAGAGTTCATTTAGTGACCGTTCAAAGTTACAACAGCACTGAAAAAAGTGACATGACAATTTTTCATAGTTATAAGTTTTGAAGCTTCTTCATGATCATAATTTAGATGTTTGACAATTGGTTCATATTTATGACGATTGCTGGGTCCCGGGATCATGTGTTCACTTTTTGTGACCTGACAAAAACAGTCAACGGGGAAACCAGATTCACTTAACAATTGGGTTACTAACTTACAACCGCAGTGATTCACTATGCAAGAAATGTCATAAAATGGGGAAAAATTCACAACAGTTGTCCCTCTTAACAACAGAATTTTGAGGCTCAATTGTGGTTGTAAGTTGAGGACTACCTGTGAAGAGTCAGTCAAATACCTACAGTTGGGCTCCAAGCTAAACTTACTGTCTTCTAATTTCAATAGTGCTGAATTTTATGATCTTTGTGGTGATTGCCCTGGACTGATCCCTTAGTGGAAAGAGCAGAGTTTCAGAGGGAAGCCATTTGAAGCATCAGCTAATATGTGGGGTCATTAACTCTAATTGCAAACAATGATACGGGGTAGCTTAGAAAAAAGATGCACTGTGCATAGATACAAATGCATTTTTGAAAAGGGATATATTGTTAAACTGTGCCTCTATTATTTGTGAAGGTAGGATATCAACTATTGCCAGGGTGAATGCCTGTCCTTGTTTGGCAGGGAGGACATTGTAGAGGTATTTTGGAGTGGCATATAGCGCATCAATGAAAGTAAAGTAGCAGCAATGTGAGGAACTGGTTTTATTGGCTAACAGATCTGAGTTGAATACCCTTTGCTTGCCTTCAGCCATTCTTTTTCTACTGCTATCATAAGCAGAAGTTGAGGTGAGAGTCCTTGTTAGCCAACTCAGTGGTTATTTGCCTCTTCCAAGAACAGATGAATTTCTCAACTAGGATAAACTGCTAAAAACATGCTTGTAGACTTATTTCAGCCAATAATTTCTCATTCTGCCTTTATCGGAGCACAATTTAACTGCTGCTGGAGAAATGTCATTATAGGGAAAGCATGAGACATGATTTTCTTGTATTTAGTTGAATGGATTCCAGGGTGGATGAGTGGCCTGTTTTAGGTTTTAAACTTTCAGACACCGTTGTTAGTGATAATGAGCCATGGAGGCACAGTGGTTAGAGTGCAGTATTGCAAGCTACTTCTGCTGACTGCCAGCTTACTGCAATTTGGCAGTTCTAATCTCACCAGGCTCAAGGTTGACTCAGTCTTCCATCCTTCCAAGATGGGTAAAATGAAGACCCAAATTGTTGGGGGCAATATGCTGACTCTGTAACTGTTTAGAGAGGGCTGTAAAGGGGTATATGTCTAAGTGCTATTGTTGTTGCTAATAGCAATTTAGTACTTAGGCTGGTTAGATAAACAGTACTAAGTAAAGGGATTTATATCAAAACAGAGTCTTTCGGAAAGGAAGCTTGCCTGAGCAGTTTCGTTTTTAACAGGAACACACAGAAAAATAAAAATCCAAGCTAAAAGTCCAACCTCCAAGTCAGTTTATCAGCCAGTCCAAAGATCAGAGTTTCGGGAACTTTTTATAAGAACAAGATATTGAAATAGGAGATAAGTCAGTTGTTTCAATAGAGAAACATGGGTCAGGA